GGAGAAACAACAATCTGTGTTTTCCTTCCAAATCAGCAGTGCAATCCAGCTTCTAATTGTTGTTGAATCAATAGCTATAAGCTACAGTTTGCACTAAATAAGAACTCAATCACTGAGTATGCATGGGGTTGAGCATCCTGTAAACACACAGAAATTGTTCACAATGCAATACGTGTGAAGATGCCTTATAATGAAACAGACCATTGGTTCACCCAAGTCAGTATTGTCTACTCATACTGGCAGCGGCTCTCCAGGGTCTCAAGCACAGGTCTTTCATATCACCTATTGCCTGCTCTTTTTAGCTAGAGATGCTGGGGATTGAACATAGGACTTTCTGCATGCAAAGCAGAGGCTTTTCCACACCCCTCCCCTTGGCATTATGCCGCTACAAGCCCAAAGCAAGAAACCCCAAACAGTAGGACCAGGGCTATTTTGGGGCAGGAACGCACAGGAACAGAGTTCCGGCTGGCTCCCGAGTTGGCCACGCCCAGCAGGAACTCATTAGCATAATAGGCCATACCCAACAGCAGAAACTCATTAGGATTGGCTACATTAGGGGTGTGTGGCCTAACATGCAAAGGAGTTCCTGCTACAAAAAAAGCCCTGGGTTTTGACAATAAACAAAGTAAACAGAATAAGAAGCAAAAGGTGGGTGTGGCTGGATGACCACACTTCTGGTAACATGCGGGTGTGGCCTAATATGCTATTGAGCTGTGCTGTCAGGGGTGTGGCCTAATATGCTAATGAGTTTCTGTTGTTGGGTGTGGCCTATTATGCTAATGAGTTCCTGCTGGGCTTTTTCTACAAAAAAAAGCCCTGAGTAGGACTATTCCACACCTCCAAAGTTTACAAATTGTTACTGGTAGTAAACAAAGTGAAGCCAGAACACAACACAGTCAACATCTAACATTTACTGGGACTGACTTTCTACATATCTTTGGCATATGTCTGGCTGGCTGGCCAAAATAACTCTGAGCCACTATTTTTTATCCACCGCAGCATGGAAAAATTGAACTTTATAGTAGAGCAAAACAGGTCTGCAATCCCAGCATTATAATGACAGGCATAAATGTCTGCTGTTCTAGTTCTCCAATACCAAGTACATCTGCATTACTTTTCTACTCGGTGCATCCAACAAGAGAGCATTATTTATTAGGCGATGACACGTACTCATAAACCAGTGTGTCCCCCTTCCTTCCTGGCTACAATTTTTCATGTCATGTATAGGGACACTCCCAATTAGAACTGAAATGAGTGATTCACAAAAAAATAAATAAATATGACATTTTGCATTTCCCACTGCTTGGGGTTTGATAGTGAACAAATTGGGACCTTCCCAGTCTCATTCACTCAGGGATGATTGCTTGCATGTCTACTGCAAATAAAGATGACCTAGAGACGTTAATGAGATAGTGAAATGAGTGTTCAGTATTTTTTTTAAATGTGGTCATTCATATTGATTGCCAGGATGGTGCAAGCATGGAGGTGAACTGTTCTTCAAGTGGTTAACCAGAATTCTTCAAGTATACCCATGATTTCAAACATTTGCATTTCCAGCTCAAATGCATCCATTTTCTTGGAGCATGTCTTCATTTATACTTTGGTTCTGCATTTTTGTGATTATTCGCTCCAAACGAAATTCTACATGCTTACATAAAACCAAGAACACATCATATACTTAAAGAAACCAAAATTTCAGGGTGCCATTTCAGATTTCAGTAGCACTTTTATCATACTGGCAACAACAGCAATGTTATCAACATGAACCAAAGAGTAACTTTAAAAAAGGAAGTTGTGCCTTTGACAAGCCTAAGTAGTACATTTGCCCATTTAATAGTTTATAACTATATTAGTGTGTGTTAATGTTGCCCACCAGTAGCTGTTAACATAACAGGCATGATCAGTCCAGAGGATAACATATTTCTGAGCAATTCAATGTCTACACACACACACTAGGGTTGCCAGGTACCTACTGGGGGCAAGAATTCAGACATACATACAGAGCCATGACATAACTGATGTAACGCCTTCTCTCTGACAGTGATTTTTTTACTTTATTTTCTCCCATCAACCAATGGAGCTGAGGTGGGCAACAGGAGCTAGAAGCAGGAGAGCTCACAACCAAGTGGGTATCTAGCAATGCTGGTGTGTGTGAAGACGTTGTCCAGAAATATATGGGGACAAGCTGGAACCCGGAAGGACTTGTGGGGGGCATCTCATTTCCCCTCCTCCCATTTTCTCTCTCCTTGCCTTGCCTCCTTAATTGCTTCCCACCCACCAGCCAACCCAGCTTTATCTGCTCCCCCTTCCTTCAGTTTTTTTGGAAAGCTATGGTCCAGTTACACAGTGCTGGCTGCTATGCTGGGCCTGGTTCTGCACTGGGGAACTTACAAGGACTTGCAGGGGAAGGGCGGGGAATAAAAATAAATAAATCACCTTCCTCACATTATTTCCTCTTTAACTTGGCAACCCTCATATCCTCACCCTTCTTTGCTTCCTTCTCTTCTTCCAGCCTATCTACTAGCCTAACTTTTATTTGCCCCCTCATTTTCAGATATATTATTTATTTACTTCATTTATATATCACTTTTCTCCACAATGGGGAACCAAAGCAACTTACATCATTCTCCATTTTACACTCATAACAACGCAGTGAGGTAAATTAGGCTGAGTCTATGTGACTGCTTCAAAGTCATCCAGTGAGCTTCTACAGCACAGTGGGGATTCAAATCGGGATCTCCCAGACCCTAGGCTGAAACTCTAACCACTATACCACACTGGTTTTTATGGGGTGGCTGCTGTTGAACTTCAGTGAGCAGCTGGGCCTGGGTGAGTCATGGAACTCATGTCATAGCAAGTCACCAGTGGTTGCAGGCGGACCAGGCCCCCAAATTCTTTTTCAAATGTCAAAACAGGCCTGCCCCCACCACTTCCCTTTTACTAACAGAAACCAAGCCTAGAATGCCAGCAAAACTGTAGTGGTTACCTAGCAACAGCAAGTGAAGGCATCTGTTTCTTACAGCTACAGGCAGTCCTTTTATAGTTTGGGCTTTCTTAAAAAAACTTCTCCCATTTTTTTTTTTTAAGATTTCAGATTTTTCCACAAGCCTGGGGCATTTTTCAGATTTGTAGAAAGAACTATCTTGTTCCATTCACATTATCCATTATCTTGTCCATTATCTCAGTGTGGGCTCAATCCATGGATTTAGATGTCTGCAGATCTACCCCCTCTTGAGAAACAGATATATAGATTAATCTTCTAGATTAATTATGCCTGTTCTGACAACAGAAGGATGAGCCGCCATTTCTTCTCTCTCTACAAATAGCATTTTATATTTGAAATGATGAGTCACCAATACTCTAAATTTATTTACCATTAGTTCTATATAAGTATTTACTAGATTGGATCTCATGAAAAATATATCTGTGGCCAAAAGACCTTATGTAAACAACGGTGCTAAAACGACTCTTCACTTTCTGCTTCTGCTAAGTGAAAATATTTATATTCCCGTTAGTTTTTCCAAGTATGGAAGACATAGCACAAGGTATTTCTTCTGATACAATACGAAAATTAAATAAACTGAAATCATGTGGCCCATCTGATGTGCATCTAGTTGTTCCAGATGCACATTGTTTTTTGTAAAAAAAATGATAAAACCATATGTTGCTGCACTACTGCTTGCACAAACAAAACTGTGCTACACACATTTCTCCTTTCTCTCATGCATCACTGCTTCCAACCCAATATAATAATTGAATGGCTTGCTTTTCAGTGACTATGCACAGAGAAGAGATCTTGCAAAAAATTTAAAGTCACAGAATCTTAAGACTTGGAACATCTGTTCTATTTTCAAACTGTTATTCACAGTGCCTGTTTGATGCATTCTCTGTATTTTCAAATACTTATTTTTAAGTTCAAATATTGTTACAAACACATTTCTGTACAAGTTTTATTATTTTGGTTCCCATGTTCCCACCAGGGGTGGCAAATCTCCTCCCAGATTTTGTTCCCCACTGCCACTATGGCAGCCAGTGGAACAAAAATCAAAATAAAAAATCACGAATTAGTGATGGTTTGACATCACTTTCTAGGAAAACCTGGAAGTGACACCAGTCTGCTCTAGGAATCAACAGAAATACTATGATTTTACCATAGAGTTTCCAGTGATTACTAGAAAGGTGTGACATCAGTTCTAGGTTTTCCCCAGAAATCTCAACACACCATTACCCAATGACGGTCCCTGATGTCCCTGCCCCCTACCCAAGACTTCTGCTGGTTGCCAAGCTGTGCCTGACAACCCTACTCCTGGTAGCACTTGATTCTTCTCTGACAGAGAGGTCCTTTCGACCTCTGCAGTGGAAGCGTCCTGCAATACAATTCAATAGATACAAAATATTTCCATGATCATTTGATCTAATTTAGATTTAACTCTGTAGCTGCTTAAATTCCTGAATCAAATGCTAGGCAAAAAAATTCTTACACTGCTTCTATAACATTCAATGTTCACACTCTGGAGGAAAACATAACAGTGAAGGTGAAAAATGAAAAAGAAATAGAGAATTTCTCTGACAATTCTTCTTTGAACCTCATTCTGGAGATAATAGTAAAAAGATTCCTGGTTAATCTTTGAGGCAATAATAGTACACAAAATCAGTTATCTCTCAAGTCCAAATCCTTTTTTAAAAGACCCTGTCACTGTAGTGCCATTTAAGGCCCCTCTTCCTTTCTTTTCTATACCCTGTTATGTTTCTACATTTTTTTTCTTCTCAGTTCCAAAGAAATAACTATGTATATTACCTTAGAAAACATCTTTGACATGAAATCCTGGTCCTAGTATTATATTTTCACTCACCGCAGCAATTGCTCCAAAAGAGAAAGTATCTGATAACTAGTAGTATTTTTTTACAAGGTACTTTGTTCATTTAGGGCTCAGAGCAACTGCTCTCATTTACTACAGTCCTCCTCTGCCTCTGCCGCTCTCGCCCGCGCGCCAGCAGCCTGCAGGGTTCCTATGTGGACGGACCCGCCACGGCCCCCTCCTGCCCTCCACTTGCCCTGCCCGCCCTTCTGCCGGCCGCCCCTCCACCACCCAGGCCCCAACCGACCGGACCCCGGGGTTGTGTCCGAGCTGCATCCAGCAGCCTCGCCGAGGGGGGCATGGGGGCGTCCCACTCCAGGTCGGAGGAGATCCAGGAGCTCGCCGACAAGACTGGCTTCACCTCAGAGCAAATCGAGCATCTCCACCGAAGATTCAGACAGCTAAGTGGGGATCAGCCAACCATCCGCAAAGAGAACTTTGATCGCATCCCTGATCTGGAGTTCAACCCCCTTAGGGCCAAAATCGTCCATTCCTTTTTTGACAAAAGGAACCTACGAGAGGCATCCGAAGGGCTGGTGGATGAAATCAATTTTGAGGACTTCCTGACTATCATGTCTAATTTCAGACCGATTGAGATGGATATGGATGAAGAGCAGCTGGATCGTTTCCGCAAACAGAAGCTGAAATTCCTCTTTCACATGTATGACTCGGACAGCGATGGGAAGATCACCCTGCAGGAATACAGAAAAGTGGTGCAGGAACTGCTCTCAGGGAACCCCCACCTGGATAAGGAGTCGGTGAGGTCCATCGCGGAGGCTGCCATGATGGAGGCTGCCAGCATCTGCATGGGGCAGATGGAGCCAGACCAGGTGTACGAGGGAATCACATTTGAAGACTTTCTGAAGATGTGGGAAGGAATCGACATCGAGACCAAGATGCACGTCCGCTTCCTCACCATGGAGCCAATTGCGCCTTGCCACTAACCAAAGAGGAGCTGCAATGGAAGTGCCGATGCCTTTGAAAGCGACCCAGGACAGAATGTTGGGCGGTCAATACGGGTAGATGGGGGATTGGCTTCTCCCAGTGCTGCAGGGATCTAGGGCAGTTGCTTGGTACTCCCGCCCACCCAGCGGTTTGAAAGCCAAGTAACTACCTATCGGCGAGTAGATAAATGGGTACGACGATCGGAGGAGGAGGAGGCTGTGTAACGCTGAAGGCGGCAAGCGGCGGCAGCAGAGCCAGAAGGGGACTGATCCCTGGTGGCCAGCAACGGAAGAGCAGGGCAGCTGTCGTCGACGGAGGATGGAGGCGCAGTGATGTCATCCGGAGGCGCACGGAGCCAGAAGGACACAGTCGGGCTGAGGACAACGTCGCCGGCGATCCATCCATCCGCCTGTCGGCCTAAGCACTGGGACATTTCACAGCCGAAAGAAGAAGCCGAGCCGGGAAAAGTGAACGACACCGAGCCTCCACCAGGGTGCCAGTAGGCAGCCCCCCCCCTTGAACTGATGTGGCCGTAGTTAGGGTTGATATAGGTGACTAGCACCCAAGAATTGTAAACCGCCCAGAGACCCCTACGGGGGTTAGGGCGGTATATCAAGTCGAATGATAAATAAAATAAATAAAAAATATGAACATGCAGAATTATATTAAGAAGAGTGTACAGATGCCACAATTTAAGTAAAATTGATGGAATTTTGGTTCGTTCTCTCTAGTAGCCATATTTTAAAAACATATGTGACAAATAAACCAGAAGACAGCTTAGTAAAATTCTAAATAGATATAAAACATTTATTTTTCTTGTAGGCGATTCAAATGTAGGACAATTACAGCATAAATTAAAACACTGCATGTAATTATCCCATTTTAGAATATATACATGCAAATGTTACTGCTTGAATGCTCACTAAAATAATCTAGTTGTATCTCTAAGACTAACTGAAATGATTTTATTGAAAGACCATGATTTTTTCTAATTACTTACTTCAGCAGACACCAATGTGAAATGTAGTTCTTGTTCAAACAGTTATCCAAACTCACAGTAAATCTCACAAACTAATGGGTCAGTTCAGGCATAATGCAAAGCCATGGCTTATTAACACTATGTCTAATTTGTGAAACCACTATTTGCTCACAGATAATCACTCAATGGTAATTGGATTTGGCAAATTCAACAACTTCCTCGCAGAAGCATGGGTGCTATCCTGGCCTACCATTCCCAACTATAGACAAAGCCGCACAACATCATTAACCCCCTTAAACATTGGTAAGTAGCTCTGCAAGGGCAACAGATCCTCCTCAGAAATCTTTGGATATTGTTTTTCCTGAGCAGACTAGGAGTCAAGAACATGGTCAAGGAGGCGGCTAGTGAAAGAGTGTGAAAGGCAGAAGGGATTTTGTTTTCAGGCCACTGAGAGCCAGTTTGGTGTGGTTAGGAGCACAGACTCTAATCTGGGAGAATCGGGCCTAATTTCCCACTCCTCCACATGCAGTTGCTGGTGTGACCATGGGTCAGTTACAAGTTCTTTCAGAGATGTTCTCTCACAAGCAGTTCTCAAAAGAGCTCTCTCAGCCCCACCTACCTCACAGAGTGTTCATTGTGGGGAGATGAAGGGAAAGGAGATTGTAAACTGCTCTGAGACTCCTTTGAGTAGTGAAGGACGGAGTATAAATCCAATCTCTTCTCTTCTTGCCGGGCACCTTGGTAGCTGAGGACAACATGAATTGGTGGCCTCCTCAACCATCAACCAATTTTTCCCTGCGTGTGAAACATACTCCTTGCCTCACTCCCTCAGCCTCTCAAGCCACTCCCCTTCCCATACTTCCCAACCATAAACCATCACCATATACTATATTCACATATCCTCCAGAGAACGTCACAGTATAATTAAGCCATGGTTTTCTGCGTCATCTAAACCACACCACTGGGAAGAGAAATTCCCTTTTGTCCAACCTACCATTTATTTCACTAAATGACAATGCTAAGGAAATTCAGAGAATGTGCTCTTAAGAAGGCTACACGTTCCACCTACTAAAATGACAGCAGCTTCTTTTAAAAGGGAACTATCTGAATACAAATTATTTACACTGAGGAACTTAGCATTTTTACACTGTTAATTCATCATGCATCATGCATCCCATCCCAAACCATTACCCAAGCTTTGTAAACTGTGCTAAATCTGACTGAAGAAAATACAGCAAATTGCAAACTATATAATCCCGCTAAATGGAAGGGAAAGGCTAATTCTCAGCTAAAGAACACAAAATCCAACATCCAGAATATTGTGGTTCTACTTTGACCCAGAAAGAGGATTGTAAATCATATATTTTCTCATTCAGAATGCTAAATCATGTACTCTGGCAGTTAAAGCTGCTTAATACAATACATATATCAAGCTCAGGAGTCAAAGAATTTAATAGTAAAACACAAATTCCAAAATTCGGTTGTGGTTTTCACACCTTATGTTGTCTTGTATGTGTTATTTGGGATTATGGCTCCAAAGTGAAGTGTCGACAATTCGTATTAAACTTTTGAAACAGACTTTGACAATGAGTTCATGGCTTGGGGGGAAATCCTTGGAAAATAACTAAACCCACTATTTAGGCTTGGGAAGCAATTAGTTAGCATAGGAATATTACCACCTTGGTAATGGTGCTAAGCGAACTACTGGTATAGGTCTGAAACATAAACTGAGAAGCTGAAAACTGAAGTGGGGAATAAAACATTTGCTTCATCTTTTATGTATACAGATGTTAGAATTTACACTGAGGCTATGGTGTTAGTCAAGTAGGCAGGCAAATAACATGAAAACTGAAACCATGTTGTGGGTCTTCTTGTTAGGCCCTTTTGGATTGCTCAGCCTCCTGGGGCATTAAAACACAAATAGCGGCACCTGTGCTGCATACCTCCCTGTGTGCATGACTAGGGGGGGGGGGGGAAGTGATGACCCTCCCTGTAAAGATCATGTTCACAGTTCACAGTTAGACCCAGCCTTATCTTGATGCCAATGTAGCTTCCATGGACTGAACTACCTTTCACCAAACATGGCTGGCAGCTGAATTCTTCCCTAGAAGAACTGATCTTGCCACCATTACCCATGCATTCGTCACATCAAGTTTCAGTTACTTTTAATACACTCGTAGGGGTGTCAAAAATAAGGCCCAGGAATCAGAAGATCCAGAGTCCGCAAGCAACTGCTGCAAGAGAGGGAAGAGAAGACTGCTGAGGGAAGGGAGTGGGTGGAGCCATTCTAATTGTAGCTTCAGCACAGCAGAACAACCTTGTCTGCAGGAGTCAAGAAGCATGGGAGCATCTGCCCAGTGTTGCACTGCTGGCTCTCCAGTCCACCCATGTGGGTTTTCCTCTACAACTCTTCCCAACCCATGGGGCCTTGTAGTGAGGATACACCAACTCGGAGCTTACAAGCTGCTGTCCTTTATACAGTTTATATCTATGCTACCTGGCATTACGTTTTATGGCACACATGGCCCGGCCTGACAAAAGTAACACTTATGTCAGATCCAGGCCCAGCCCTAGTAACAAATGAGTTCGACACCTCTGGTATGGTTACCACCTTTGAAAATAGGCTTGCCAGCCCCCAGGTTCAAGTGGGGGATCCCCTGATTTTGCAGGCTTCTCCCCACCACCACCCAGCTGGCTGGCGGGGAGAAGCCCCATCCCAACAGCTATGATGTGCCTTTAAACCTCAGCAGGACATTTTAGAAGAAGCTTGCAAACTGTTTGTGTTTGGGAATGTGTGTGTGTGTGCCTTTAAATCTCAGTGGGATGAAAGCTACATTGGGGGGGGGGGGAAGCAGGCACAAGCCACATGGTTCTTCCCAGTGAGTGTATGGAGCATGTGAGAGAGGAAGAGAGCACAGTCTCTCTGTTTCTTTTGCATTTTGTTTCAGAAGTCATGTGTATAGTGAAATGGACTGTAAAGAGTTAACTAGAACCTGATTATGGGATGGTGGAAAACTCCACCCCCTAGACTGCTCTCTTTCTTACTTTCATTTTTCTGTGTTAGTCTGAAGAAGTTGGTTGAAATAAAGAAGATAGTTACGTTCAGCAACTCCCCTGAGTAAAGTGATTTATACTATTGCCCCAGTGAGACCACAAAAGTGTGGGCTTGCAAACTGTGTTTGGGAAAGGATTAATTGTTTATTTTGGCTGCTTTGTGAGTGTGCATGTGTGTGTCCTTTAATAAAGCCATGCTTGGAAATGCTACCAAAACCTGGCAAGGGACTTGTGGGGATATGACAAATTACACATTTATTTAGTGTAAGTGCAGCTCCTGGGGAACCCTCTGAAAGCAAAAAAGAGGATGAGGAAATGAAGACTGTATTCAGGGGAAGTGAACAGCTGTATTTTTATTTATTTAGGGAATGATAAAGTCTCCAGGTTCCACCCCCAAAGTCCCCAGGTATTCCTGAGTTCGACCTGGCAGTTGATACAAAACACTGCAGCCTGGTTGCTGACAAGAACATACCATAGTTATTACTGTCCTGCTATTACTGTCCTAGAACGGCAACACTGACTTCTAGCTAGTCTCTGTGTGCAATCTGAAATATTCATGTAGACCGAAATCAGGGGTGTCAAACATAAGACCCAGGGGCTGGAACTGGCCCTCCCAGGGCTGTTATGTGGCCCGCAAGCAACTGGTGCAAGAGAGGGAACGGGAGGCTGCTTGGGGGTAGGTGGCTGCAGCCACTCCAATTGTGGTGTCTGCAGCAGTTAAGGAGAACCCCTTCACTTCAGGGACAGCCTCACTGGTAAATTGGGGGCTGCTGCAGCTGCATTCATACCTCTCCACTTGGCCTGTAGCTGTGGGGATGCTGTCCCAGATGGCCACAGGGATCAGTGTTTGCACATGGGGTGCATGTGCAGATGATCCTCTGTTGGGGCATGGGAGCATCTGTCCAGCATTGCATTGCTGGGTCTCCAGTCCACCCATGTGAGTTTTCCTCTGCATTCCGCTCCCAG